CTTGGCGGACTATCCTAGAAAACATAGGTTTAGTCTTAACTGAATATAAACAGTCGAGAAAGACAACGCATGTGTACAGTATCAGTGTCCTGGCTCTGTGCATTATGTCTTAAAGTGACAGCAGACTAATATTCCTGCTGCTGTCTGTTTTTAATGTTAATCAAACAACAAAAGACAAGGAAATCACTCACTGCTCTTGACTGAATAGTTTTTTGTAAGTTTAATAATGATTCATCTTTATTTAATTTCTACAGTGAAGATTAAATGCAGTGTTGTTTTAAATTTCATTACCTGTACCTAAAAACTATATGCACTATTGCATTTATTTGGGCTGTTTATATGGCCAAAATTTAAATGAGAATTTTATTACAGTATAGCAGAATACTTACATAAAATGCCACAAAAAAAAATTATATTATATCGCCCAATAATATGTCTTAGTAAGATTATATTTAAATCCTTAGTTTTGTGATCAAAGATCTAGAGGGCCCTGACAACCATCCCCCCATAGTTTCATAAAATCCTGTGGGAGATATTTGTTTTACTTGGTGTTACATTTGAAATGAAATGTTTTTAGAAAATACAGAGCCCACTGGTTCTTGAGGTCAGAAAAGTAATAAAAAATGTTAGAAGAATGTTGTCTGAGGTGTATTTTCACTGCAAAACAATGCCGCAAATTTTAAGAAAAGCCACTGCAAATTGTCATTTTAGGCTGCAAAAATCCCCCAAATAGTCCCGCGTAATCCTAGTGGGATGTATATATGTCCAGTGTTGGGCATGTAACAGCGTTACGTAATTTTATTACAAAATAAATTAGAAAAAAATGTGTAATTATTGCAAATCTCAACAATTACAAAGGGGTTACATCTGAATATGTTGAATAATATTAATTTGTTGTGTTCCAGTGCTGGAAATTTAAAAATCATTTCATCCAGAAATCTGTATTTAAACTCAGAACGATCTCAAATTTAAATCATTTGCAAAAGTCTGGTTTTGTGGTGTCTGTGCTTTAAAATGTTATTATTATAATCTTAATTCAAGTGATGAAGGTGATGATTTTGAAAGTCTGACAGTAACCAGTGTTGACAACTGTAAGGTTAAACCCTGTCTGGTTTGAATGTTTGAAAATGATTAAGAATAGAATAGAATAGAATGAGGCATTTATATAGCGCTTTCATATGTACCCAAAGCGCTTTACAATCATGTCTGGGGATCTCTCCTCAATCCAGATTAACAGTTGAAAACATTCTTTAGACATTTAGAAAAAAAGTAATCAAATGTAATCAGTTTCATTACTTTAATAAAGTAATTGAAATAGTTACACTATTTATTATATTTTAAATAGGGTAACTTGTAATCTGTAACCTATTACATTTCCAAAGTATCCTTCCCAACACTGCATATATCCAATATCTCAATATCACTAATATGACACCAATATAGAGTACCAAGAAGTTGCAGGCTATTTGTTGTTCCAAGAGGGCATGTGGAGAGTTGCAGGAGCTGTTATCTCAGCAGGGAGTCGAGTTGGTGGGGCCGTTAACCCTCCCCTGCTGACTGACAAGGTCACATGCTCCAACTTTCCTAGTTTTTCGAATGTAAATGAGCGGACTGCTTGCTTCAGCAGCACTGATCCTTATTATACCAGCTACTTCCCCAGACATTAAACACATCATAGCTGACTTGTCTTTAATCTTCAGTGATCCAATGGTTTTCCTGGCATAGCCTTTTCTCATCAAACTTCATAACCTCATCAGGTTCCTTCTGTTACGGCTGGTCTCTGTAAACATCCCATGCTCCTCCAGGCTCCCCAGTCACCTGTATGATAGATTGTGTGACTAGAACACTCATTAGCTGTGAGTCAGCAGGGGCATTGATAACCTATTGCACGGTGGCTAACCTCCACACTTCCCCGTGCGGCGGTGCTTCTCCCGTCCCCCCGCGTCAGCCACCCCGGCACCACCCCTTCCCTTAAAGCCCGGCGAGGCTGGAACATTCATCATCCGCAGTCAGATCCCGCTTCTATAATGTATGATGTGTCGCGGTAAAGGAGTAGGCGGCAGAGAGGGGAGGCCGGGTAGAAGCAGCGAGGCGGGTATTGATCAGGCCAACCCCCCCTTCATCCGTCTGTCATCGCTCCAGCTAAGAGGAGGAGGGCTGTAGAGGACGTGGCTAATCGTCAGCTTTGACTCCCACTTCTTGCAGTTCATTTCTGGAGAGATTCCCCCTTGTGACCCCTTCTCACACATGTACTCACTGTCACTTCCTCTCACACTCATACACTCTCCTCTCACCTGCTGTCTCGCATATTCTCTGAACTCTCTCTCTCTCTCGTTCTGTCTCCAAGAGTGTCTTGGCCGAGAGTGTATAGGAAAGGAAGGGGTGTGTGTTTGAGGGTGGGGGTAGTGGCCTCACAGCTGCGCTAGCTGGCACTGCTTCCTCAAACATCATCGCCGCAGCCAGCAGCCCGCTTGGCACAAACACTCGCCAGTAACACTTAAACAAATTGCTATAGCAGTGGAAGAGCTGTCTTACATTGTTGATTTTTAACATTCCGAGAGACTCTCCCCCCCCCCCCCCCCTCGATTTGCCTTTCTTCGCCTTTGGATGCTTTCAGCTTTTGGAACGCTCCGTGTTTTGAATGCACGCCCAATAATTTTGCAGAACTCGCTCTCGTTCTCTCACTTTCTCTCTGAATATCAGGCCCCCATGGGTCTCCTCTTCCTCCACCGCTCTCAGAGTCATTCTTAATTTTTCTGTTCCCCTCATCCGGTTCATTTTTTCACACTTATCTTCATCCGCTCGTCCTACATCACATCTCACACACACACACACACACACACACACACACTTTATATGTGTATGTATGTAATCTATTAATATATATATATATATAGTTATGAAACAAATGAGTTAAAAATAAATTAAAATAAGGAAATATAATTTATTTTGTATATATATAATTTATATAACATTGAATAACATATATATATATGTGTGTGTGTGTGTTGTCCTTTATAGCAATATATGTTAGCTCATTGATGTTTGTCATGATTTTAAATAATACAGCATTTTTAATACACTATTTCATTGTTTTATTGGTTAAAATTATTCTTATCTGGATAAAAATATATAAATATAGTAGTGCTGGGCAACGATTACTTGCATCCAAAATAAAAGTTTGTGTTTACATAATATATGTGTGTGTACTGTGTATAATTATTTTATATATATAAAAGCAAACATGCATGTAAATATTTAAGATGTAAGATGTATATACTGTATATATATTTATACATTTATTTATATTATATATAAATAGAAATAAATGTATAGTACATGCATGTCTGTGTACATATATATACAAAATAATTATACACAGTACACAGACATATATTATGTAAACACAAACTTTTATTTTCACCTCTCCTGTCCTGTCTTTTTTTTCTCACTGATAATACCAGTTATATTTCTATAGAGATACATGTGGGTGACTTAAATATGCCATTGTAACAATTAATGCTCATTGATGTGTGTTATAATTTATGGCTCTGACAGAATGTGGGTGTGTGTGTGTGTGTGGTGAATAGGTGCTTCTCTTTGTTTGGCTCTGCCATTGCTGTTAGCGCAGATCGGCCTTTCACTCTGGCATGCTAGACAGTTAAATGCATGTTTACCGTTCAGATCCTCTGGGACTCCTCCTTAGTGGCCGAGGTTACGGCACTGATCGCATTAAGGTCCCTCGACATGTTACAGCGCATGGCTGGGTTACGCTGCACGAGAGCATGCCAAACCATGCGTGCAACTGCTCGCTGCATCAGAGAGACCCAGGCCGAGGGAGGATGTTTTTCATGAGTAGCGCTTCCAGCTCTGCCAGGATCTAAAACAACAACACGGTCTTATAAATTATTCAGCGTGGACAGAGAGTGTGTGACAAAACACATGCTGCAAATGAATCGTTCAATGCTGGACACGAGTGCATCTGTAGAGGAAAGACTGCCTGTGTGGGAGTTTGTGTACGCCACAAACTCAGAAACCTAAACCTAACTTGAGTAGCAGTCCAGGAAGTCAGGATGAGGCGAAAAAGCCTCCTAACCTTTAAAGTCGCTGAAAGACAGATGTTTTATTCTTTTGTGGTGACTGAGGGGGAGGGAACACAATAGTTTAGCCACAACTATACTCCCTCTTCCTTTGCAGGAGTGCAAACTCTCAAATGTTATATCACGCCGATTGAGATCAGTTTACACCACAGGGGAAGCAGTGTTTTCAGTTAAACCACTGTACCTGATTACTGCTGTCTCTACGCCAGCGCAGGAACTCGCACGCTCGAAAACACGTGGCCTCGTGCACCTGAGCGCAGCAGAACCGAACCTGAAGCGCGCAAGCCTAAAGGTGTAACACAAATACTTTTCGGCATCCCAATTTAAGTTACAAAAATATTTACCTTTTCCCTGGAGTAAACAGAATTTAGCTTCACTGCTGTGTTTGTTCTAATGTTTGAAAGTCTGACAAGTATAATATATGATGTTTTTAGAGTTGTTTATCATTTTCCTTTAGGAGTCTCGTGTTTTTTTTCTCTCGCAGAGAGTTTGAAACTGCTGAGTTTAGATATTGTGAAGTGCATGATTCATACGGCTGTGCGTTGTGCACTTTTTATTTGCCCCTTGGAAGCTCACGGGCCGTTTCTGCGATAGGAAAAGAATCAAGATGGATTAGTATCGTTGACTGAGACCCGAATTACCCTGTAGTTTACTGTCAGACATGCCCTGCCTGTTGGGCAGCTAGAGAACGTACACAGAAATAAATCACACCTTATTGATGAAACATGAAATATAAATTAGGCTTTCCTGACCTTTTGCAGCCTTCAAGTGCCAAAACTCACACAGAATGTGTGAGTTTTGGCAGATATTTTTTCAGTTATCCTGTTTTTCACATGATTAATGTTTTTGTTTAATGTGTATGGTGCTGTTCTGATTGTTTGTGTGTTTGTTTATCCATAGGCAAGTCTGAGAGGCCTCCATTCTCTGGCTATGGGAGAGAGCCAGGCGTCTCTGGATGCCAGGTAACAACCACAACTTTTATTAACATGTTTTATGTAGTTTTTGCTTTTGTGTAAATCTTGCAGGTTTCTCACTTAGACCTGATTCATCACAACTACCAAAGTGCTGAAAGTGAACATGCCAAATACTCCGACACATGGCTAATTGGTTGTGAATCTTAAGCTCAGTTAAAAAATACAGCTTTGGGCTGAAAGTTTTTGAAATAAGTATTTTATGCTAGCTAAGGCTATATGTATATAATAAAATACAGTAAAAATGTTGTGAAATACTATTTAAAATTTTAAATATATCTTATAATATATTTATAATAATATATTTTAAAATGTAATTTATTCCTGTGATGCAAAGCTGAATTTTCAGCATCATTACTCCAGTCTTCAGAGTCACATGATCCTTCAAAAATCATTCTAATATGCTGATTTGCTGCTGAAGTATAATTTCTTATTATCAATGTTGAAAACAGATGTGCTGCTTAATATTTTTGTGGAAACCGTGATACATTTTTTTCAGGATACAAAAGACAGCATTTATTTGAAATTAAAATATTTTGTAACATGATAATGCTTTTACTGTCACTTTTGAACAGTAGTGTATACTAATACATTTGTAAAATTTATATAAATTTAGTTTAAACAAATATTAGTTACTGTATTATATTTGTGATACCTAATGCATGTTAACAAGAAAGTATAAAGCGGTACCAAAAATCATCTACTAATCTCAAATATCTAAAGATATGGGAACCTTATTTTATAGTTTCCGGTCAGTTTTTCACATCAGACAATGTTGAAAGAGTGTTTTGTGGAGTCTGGATGCTTTTAATCTGAATGCTTTTTAATAGCTTTTAATATGACTCAGCTCTGTGATTTAGAGGGAGAGTTTATGAATGTATTGTGTGTAGGGAGCAGGCCTTCAGCACACAGAAACATGACTTTCAGCACTCCCATTAAAGCAGGGTCACAGCGCCCAGCCCTGCTCTCCTCCCTCAGCCACACAGATGTTCCAAACAAAGCCAGGATTGTGTGAGCACACCACCTCGCTCCCGCTCTCCCTCTCTCCTGCCCGTTCATTCTCTCTGACACGCTTGACGTCAGTCAGTCAGAGAGTATACTAGAGTAGTCCTATGAGCTTGGTTCTGCACGGCACGATTACAACCCGTTCTCGGCCTGGAAGTCTCAGCACGGTTGGCTAACTGTGTGTAGTGACGTCTCAGCCACTCAGAATTGGTCACTTGTCTGTTGCCTGGCTATCAATTTCTCTGTATCTGCGCAAGCGCGCTATTTGAGCGACGTAAACACAAGTAAATAATCAAATGAAAAGAAATATTTGATCATCCTCCATAACGCAGTCGCTATTTACATCACATACCGTCTGTAAACTCAAATGCATCAGGCAACGACTGACGATGCTTAGCCAGACGTTGGAAAAGATATAACATAAAATATACATAACTAATAACAAAAACTAAGATGAAACATTATAATTAAAATGGAAAACCAAATTTGAAGTGTCACACAGGGAATTATGAGAAAATCAGAATGTAACATTTAAATTGTAAAATTAGGCCTACATTAAATGTCAGATTAGATCTATTACAGTTTTTAATGTAGCAGTCTTTTACAGTTAAAATTACAGTCATTTTTTACAGTGTATGCTCATTAGCAGAAGGATTTAGTTAGCATGCAGGGTCTTGGCTTAGATTAGATTTAATGCCATGGCTAAAATAGGATATTAGAGAAAGACTACCTCTCCAGCTTAAGTGTGAGGTCAGCGCAGCCCTCGACCCGAACAACCCTTTAATAACCTCGGCCTCTGAGCGCTGCATCCATCTCAGGAGAAGAGAAACACACAAGCACACCTTTTAAAGCACCGTGCTTTTTGCGAGCAGTGAATGGCGCTAGTCAGAACGAATGAAAACACGGCTGGCTCTCTGGCGCGTTCGCTCATTCATAAAAGAGCTTTCTGAAAGGGAATGCCAGTTCAGACATTTTGTGTGGGAACTGGGGAATTTATGCTGGCCTGCAGCTGCACAGATCAGAGCCTGGCAGAGACTCAGTTTGTCTAGTCGCCGAAGAAAAACAGGAAGAGTGAAAAAGCCGTTCGGTTCCTGAGCGAATGTGGGAAGAATGCGGGCTGCAGGGTGGCTGCATTAATATTCTGCACCCCGCGTGTTAATACGGCCATCGCGTCTGCCGCGCGCATATAAACAGATGACTATCAGGTGCAGAGATTATCGGAGAAGCAGTGTTTTTAATACGCGAATCGGGCGCCTAATAACCCAGTCTGCTTCGAAAATTGAGCAATGCACATTGCGGAACCTAATAAAAGGCCCTATTTGTTCAGCGAGTGCCAAGAATGGAAATATCTGCAGTAGTAATCTATCAAGTGTTTGGCAGTGATGGGAAGCGGTTACAGGATTTTCACAAAAGCAAACAGCCTGTCTTTTTATGAGGTTTGTCATCATTTGCAGGCTAAACCTCTCCCTCAGCAAGGTATTATTGCATCATTTGAACCTGATGTGGAACTGTACACCTTTTATTGAGTTAAATATTCAAACTGTCTCAGCCAGCTGTGGCCCCTGTATCTCTGACTGCCAAGCATCTTGGCTGCTTTCTTTTACAACAAGCAATTTCGTTGAAAAAACTGTGGATTTCACATTGGCTTGGGAAGCGAGAAAAGCTTGTTTAGAACCATTAACGATTCTCGCACGTGCATTATTCCGCTGATGTGGATCAAACACCATACAACATATTCGGAGACTGTGTTTTCTGCAATAGTAGCCTATACAGTGGCATTGCAACACTAATACTTAATCTACAGCACAACATTCATAACAACCAGTGTAGATTTCAAAACGAGTGACTCTTAAGAACCAGTTCTTCTTCATATTAAATACAAACATACATTATGAATATCGTAGTCAGATTCCCAAACAAATGTGAACCAGCTTTTTTTAGTGAATCAAAACCATACAATGCAACCCATGTAGTTCAGTTTTCGAACGGGTGACTTATTACGAGTCGGTTTTGGTAGTATATCATAAACATACAGCTCAAACCGTGTCGCTTTTTTTCTGAACAAATGACTCTTATGAACCAGTTTTTTAGTGAATCAAAACCATTCAATGCTACCAAGATACCCAAACAAATTACTCTTAAAGGAATAGTTCACCCAAATATTAAAATTCTGTCATCCTTTATGACAGAATTTATAGATTTATATTTACTAATGTCGTTCCAAACCTGTATGATCTTATTTCTTCTGCAGAACAGAAAAGAATTGAGAAATGTCAGGTTTTTTTGTCCATACAATAGAAGTTAATGGTCACCACTATTTGGTTATCAGTATTATTCAAAATATCGTATTTTGTATTCCTAGGGAATATGCTTTTTCCCACCTCGTACAAATGTATGCATCTCTACTTAGGAAAGAGGAGCTTTATTGACCATTTATCAGTTTTTTACATTATACATCCTAAAATAATACATTTTATTCGTTCTTTGCTTGCCTTTGCTTTGCAATATCTTTAACAATTCCTCACTGAAGGCTGCACTACTGTTGCCATCTTTAACCTTGCAGCAGGAAATGCCATGATCCAAACATGAGAAATGTGAAAATAGTGAAGCGATAAGAGGCGAGCGGTAGAGATCTGCGTTCAGTGGCACGATGGCTGTAGGTAAGCTCTGCGCCCGTCCCCTGTGTGGAGGATTATTCTGATTGTTGCGGCAGGATGCGGTTGACAGATGACTGCTATTATCTCCACCAATCTGCCTGACATTTCACTCAGGAAGATGATTGTTCAGATGTGAGCGGGCTCAGAAGCCCCTGTGATTCTGTCAAGTGCTCTTATAATGAACACTACTTCTCAGTATCCGCAAGATTGACCAGACTGTCATGTAAGCTGAGTACTTGTTTTAAAGGCTAAACCATGGTGGGCAGTCATTTTCCTCTCACCCGCTAACACACGGCCATGTTCATACAAACACTTATACCCTGGCGGGAAAGGAACAGGCCTTTTGTCAGTATATCGCTGTTGCGATCGCTCATACTTAGTATTAGGGATTTGAACACAGTCCAAACCGTAAGCATTAAACGTTTCTGTCATCCCAAAATGGACATCAATGATACCTCAAATTATGTGGTTTGTTGACGAGAGGTGTATAATTACTTTTCTAAGCAATCAGACTTAAGATTTTCACCTGGCAGATGAAAAAATATCACATAGACCCGAGACCTATCTAGAAACCAGAAAATGATTAAGGGCTTTTTTACGTAGCAACTGTTTAGCAACGGCCTGGCATTTTTCTTCAGAAAATGTACATTTCTCATTCATTCTATATTCAATTTAACAAAGATCTCTCTAATCCCCTTTAGTTTCATGGAACCACCAGTTCTCTGAATGTAATCTTTAAATAGGATTCAACTAATTTCACATCACTATAATAAACCACAGTAAATCCCCCTTAAAGTCACTCTCTCCCGAGTAGTAAATTAGTATTCTATCGCTCTTTCATCTGACCCCAGCGCTTCCCCCGTCTTGTTTTTGCATTGCGGCTAAAAGTAAGAAGATAATATTGCTGTGAGGATTTCATATCATTGAACAAAGGCAACACTAGTCAGTCTGCTTTGCCATGTCAATGTCAATGATGCCACCTCCCTGACAGCCTGTCACTTTGGAGAGCTCGTGTCCCCCCTCATTCCTCCTGCAGTAAAGGAGAAGCCAACCTGATTTTCACACGATCTGATGGCCCTTGTTTTAATAGGCTAAATTTAAGGAGTAGCAGCTATTTTTGCTTTCTTCTGTAGCCACGGCCAGGGCTTTGATTATGACTTCTATCCGACTTTGATATCGGATAAATGTCCTTTGTACAATGTGTTAATTTTTAAGAACTATACAAAACAGTGATCTGACCAATAAAAAATAAGTGCACTGTTTGTCGTTTTCAATTTATAAGATTTAAAAAAGAAAAACCTAAAATAATATTTAAAATGACATTTAGTAATTCTAAATAAAAAAGTAATACAAACTAAAATCACACAAACGATTAATATGATAAATATATAACAAAAAATACATTTTATTTATAGGCACCTTTCACGACACTCAAGGTCACCTCACAAATCTTCCTAAAAACATCAATATGAGAACAATAGACAAACCATATTATAATATACACTGAAGAATAAGATATTGCTCAATACATGTGCAATCATAAATAAGGCTGTTTATATAAAGAGTTTTAAGACGAGGTTTAAAAGTGTCAAGACTGACACTGTTACGAATGTCCTGGGGAAGGGAGTTCCACAAATGAGGGGCAGCATAACTAAAAGCCCTTGACCCCACACTGTTTATAATATGTAATGTAAAGTATTACCGAATTACAAAAATGCTACATACAAGCCTTCTTTATATGGGGACTTTTGTACCGTCACAGTTTAAAAGTATAAAACTTTAAAAAGCATCACAGATTAAAATATGTATGATCATTTCAGATATTGTGTGGCCCTTGAATGAAGGTTTTGCTTCACAGAAGGACACAATCAGACCTCGTTACAGAAAAAGAAAAAAACCTGAGAGTTTTTCTGCTTTTTCCGCTCTTTACTGAACACAATTGTGCAGTTATTGATGTGAGAGTGCCAGCAGCTCAGTGAAGTCCGAGGAGAAATCGATCCAATCAGTCTGACCTAGTGATTCCCTCCCCTTCTGCTCACGGTGAACTGCTATTGATCAGGCCTGATCACGGCCCCAGGGCATATCCACACACAGCCAGGGACACATCCTCACTTAAAGGAGCAGCGGGCCCAGGAGAGTGAAGAATGAGAGATCCAACAGGGGAGGGGGGTATACGACAGTGGCCAGCTCAAGCCTCATTAAACCATCTGTCTGATCTCAGGAACTGTCAGCTACCCTGTAAAAAACTGTGCCGGCTTAACTTGACAAAACACCCGGTATAGAGCCCATGAAGTCGACAGGGCCACTAGCCTGTCGATGGACAGCCAATTACGTGAGGAGAGAGCAGAGACAGTGGCCCCAAAACCCGCCTCTGATGACCGGGAGATTAGCGTTGGCTTCAGGTTTGTAAATGGTTTTCCCGGAGGCTATCGCACCCTTGACCAACATCCACTCTTGTTGCTCGTCCCAGAAAACTGGGTTAAGAGGCCAATTAGAGAATAAGCCCAATTAGCCTTATCGCCTGCTGAGTTAAAGAGCAGTGTGTGGAGGGGGATGAAAGAGTGACGGAGAATAGAAGGAATCAGGTAACAGGACTCATACTGGGAGACCCAGCATGCATTAGAGCGGTTGTTGACTACTATACTACACCACTTAACACGAGACAAACTAAAATCACACAGAAGACAACTATATAAATGAAATGTAGAACCATTATATACAGTGTGTACATGTATATATGCGTGCGTGTGTGTGTTTGTATATAGCTGAAATATAATTCTTTTTATACTGCACATTATTTCAGTTTTTACTATTTTATTCAGCTTATTTGACAAAATAGTATAGAATTTTAATATTGGCTATTTATGGGTTGTCGTTCATGTGAAAATAGAATTTTAACAATGGTAAATTTCTGTCATTTGTGAGACAATGCTTCCCTGCCATTGGAAAGAGTTGATTACTGTTTGTTTGTTTGTTTGTTTTTTATATTTAAAAGTGTTTATGTTTTGCACGCACACATTCACTTTTTTGTTCGTTTACATTAGTGTATATATGGTCGGCTTTCAGCCCTAAACTGTCTTCTTTTGTCTCTACAGCCCAGTCTGAGGTCGGACATGGGTCTGGCGAGCCCAGGGCCTGTCACCACCTCTGGGAAGTCGCCCACTCCGTTCTACTCTTTTACTGGCTCCAATCCACGAAGACGCTCCCTTCAGGACTCGGCTTCACTGGGTCAGTGCCTGTCTAATGCCCTCAATGAAAAAGCATGACTAAAGCGTCATTATTATGTTTTTATAATAAACACTAACAGACAATAACGGAAATATAATTTTTTTTATGCTGAATTCCTCGATTTCTGCCACACCAATGCTCTCATATTTGTCTTTGTAAACCTGTAATCAAAGAGACATCTGACTGAGTGCCTTCTCATGCTTGTTTACTCTTTTCCCCCCTCAAATGTCTCAAAGTTGTTTTTGTATTCTCTCCACAGATCCTGTGCAAACAAAGAAAGTGCGCAAGCCCCCTCCTGGCCTGCCTACATCTGTGAGTACAGCATCATTTCATCTTCCTGCCATCCCTTTGCTTTAAAAATAGATGCTAGCACACAAGCAGACACCAACAGAGGCGTTTAATGAAAGCCGTTGGTACGGCGACACACACATTTTTGAATTTCATCTTATCAAAGTCGTCCTCTGACATGGTTGCAGCGTGTACCTGTGCGTATGTCAAGCGCATGTACACGGGAGGCCAAACCTGCCTCACAAATCAGCTCTGTTGTGTTTGCGAATCCACCGTTTGGAGCACGGCGAGTGTAGGTGCACGGTAACGATGGTTGATTGATTTGTGAGGCCGCCCCGTCAGCACTCGCCTCCCTCTCCTCCCCTCTCCCGCGGGAACAAGGGCTCAGGGACATGAGCTGTCATGCCGCATCCCCGCCACAGCTCTTTTGATGTTTAATTAGTCATTATGTAGCCAGAACAGGAGGACAGACAGAGATTAATAAGGTGGAATTGGTGGTAAATTTCCATGGGCGATAATCCCGGTGGAGCACCAGACATTAGGATTCGGAGGAAGTGTGGAGCTCAGCTTGACTCCGCCTGTGACCCCCGTTTGCCCAACTCCCTCCCACCCTTTCTATATGCATAAATCGCACATTCGAACAGTCATTGTGGGAAAACGGAGGGCAGATAGTGAAAGCCTCCTTTTAGATTTTCCCTCAAACCACAGTGCTGGCTGCAATGAATGCGTCCCCAGATGCAGCCGCTTTAGCACAGAGATCCCCTCACGTTAATACAACAGGATTCGGATTCCTCCCGCAGAACAAAACGAGGCCTTTGAGGGCCGCGTGGCAGCAGGATTAGTCTTCGTGAGCTCTCAATAATCGCACGCAATGCAGGCGAGAAATCAAGCGCGACTCTTCCACGAGGCATGAATAAGAAGTTGCGCAATGCACTTTTGTCTTTAAATTTGTGTTTGAATCGTTGCTTGTCTGGAACAGAGTCGCTCCAGTTGATACGAGACGCGGGGGTGAAACGAGGAGTGAGATACTTTTAGCTACTAATGCTAGAGGGAAAAATAAGGGAAGACAGAAAAAGATGGAGAGGTGGGGTGGTAAGGGGGTTGAGGAAAGATTGGTGGCCTCGTGGGGTACATCTCTTTGTTGTGTAAATGGACATAGGGCTTTTATTTGTCACTACTTAACACATGGCCGCAGGTGCACTTGTGTGACTCATAACTCGAAGCAGCTCAATTCAGCGCAGGGAAGAGCGCCGGGAATATAGAACTCTGCTCTTGTAAGAAAAGGCTGGATTCTCTTCAAAATCACACTCACAACAGATGAACTTGTATGTCAGTACCTTTGTATCTGAAAAATCTGAATTTCGCAAAAATAATTTGTGAATATTCACGAATTTGCAGCTTTTCCATCTCACGTGTTCAAGAGAACAAAATCGTCACTTTTTGGGGAATTGCCACAAAATAGAAATGTAAATTATAATTACTGTGGAAACCACTATGGCTGTGTAACTGAGGCCCAGACACCTGGTATTACAGTAAGTTGCATTTTGGCCTATCGGATCACAAGTGGACGACGCTAAATACAGGTGTAAAAGGGGTCTAAAATGTTTTGAGCTTGTCCACTTTTGACCACTTCAAAAAGTAGTCGAAAACACATGCGACCGGATTGCTATCGTAGTGCAGCCACAAAAGGCTGCCTTCTCTCCGACTTAATGCGTAAACATTATGGGAAGTGTGCTAGCCAGACGGGATTTAAACTTTGTTGGCTGAAGACCCAAATTCAGTTCGAAGACGAAAAACGTACCAAGCACAATGTTCTCTCACCATTCCTGATTTCTAACACGCACTCACAGCGTTTTGCTTGATCTTGCAGCTATCAGAGCAAAAACGAAAGCTGATGCTTCGTGTTTTTCCATCGTGTCCGGTCGCGTTCATATGTAAATTGCACAAGCTTATTTTGTCCATTAGATGGAAAGATCTGAAAAAGCCCATACATTTACCCACCCTTAGACACTCCCCTTAAAGAAATCAGAACAGAAGTGGTTGAAAGTGGACAAAAGAGACAGATTAAAGCACCAGATGTAAACGGGTGTCTTCCCCCTCTACTTGTGACCTGATCGACCAAAAGCATCTTAAAACCAGGTGTAAACAGGCACTATATGTAATGGATTTAAACCCCTTTTTTTTTTTTTCATTAGACTTTTTTTTTTATTTGGTCAGGAGTTTTATAAACTGGATTAAAACTGGATTAGTAATTTGCCTTATGCCCTATGCCCAAAGTGTTCTTCAGTTTTGACCCGAGGGCTTAGCATACGAGTAAAGCCGAATGCAAAACCGTTCAATACTCCATTTGATAGCGCTCACAAACACACGCTCATTAGAAAGTTTCATACTTGTCCAGTGTCTGCGCTATTTCTCTGCAGAAGTTATAAGCGATAAAAACTCGAATCCCCTCACACAAGCACCTATGTTGTTGAATCTCCAGTAGTTTGTTATAGTTATTGTTCCGTTTTACCATTTTCTTTTTCGCCTGTAAAACAATGGGGCAGGGCAGTGTTGTTACCTTGTGGAAAAAAACTAATTTGTGCAGAAAAACTCAAGGCGCAGGTGCGTACTGAGGACAGGCGGTTAAAAAAATTGTAGTACAACATGCAAACACTATTCTGATGATAAAATGTATGTCACATGCACTGGACACATACTCTGAAGTGTGTGTAACAACCAGAGTGTACTTTGGGCTTGAGAAAGACAGCGAATAGTAGTAGTAATCTGAGTGGAATTTTTTTATCCGCATGAAGGAATTTATTGTGATTTTCATGTGCTTTCATGCAATATCCTACTAAGTTGGATAGAAACCCATTTATTGTAGATATAACACAGCCACTTGACTTTTTAATGTAAATCTAGGCATTTAAACCCGCTTAGTGTAGTGATTTTGGTGACAATAGTCATCATTGGTCGAGAGATGTTGAAGGGCTAGTCGTAAATGTTGTAAATGTGGGCTCTGGTAGCCACGGCGGCACAGGTGTAGGGTTGCTGGAACAGCTGTGTGTGTGTGTGTGTGTGTGTGTGTGTGCATGCAGTCTGCAGGGTACCTGTACAGTGGGCTTGCAGCTGCAGATGCCTCTGAAAGCTTTTGCTTGTGTAAGCAGACGAGCCCCACTAGAGGCCTGTAGAGCTGCTTGATAAACAAAATGAACACAATGCTTCCCATCATCAGACCCTCTGCAGGGAATACAACCCCCAACTCACCTAAAAATACTTTAACTATTTACCTCTTACCAGCTCATCTCTTTTTTTTAAATGCAACACGACTGATGGATCGGAATAGTTTATGTATGGATTGTAAATATTTATGGAAAAACATCCGCTCCGTTTTAGAGCAGCGAGGGCATGCTTTACGACATAAAGCCCCAAAGAAGACATGGCAGCAGATTGAGGACGTACAAATATTTATAACCGTGTTTGATTTGTGTACTTGCTGGAAGCTGAGGGAACCTTGTTAACCCTTGAACTGCGGGAAAGTTTAAAGAAAGATAGCGGATGTTTATTATAGTCTTTAAACACTTGGAGATTAGACATAAATAGGTCTGTTTTTTGTTTTTTTTACTTAAAAAATAGTTTAAATGGGTTTAAAATAAGATTTGGACAAAAAATAAATATAAAAAATTTATATAATAATAATAATTGTTATGATTATTATTACATACATTACTATTGTAATAATAATATTTCACTGTAAAATAAAAAAATCAAACATTTTATACTGCACAATAAAAAAATTACAATACTAAAATTTTCATCTCGAGTTATTCATTTTTTAAATGTTAGGCCATGAAACTTTTATTTTGGCGGATAACTGCAGGGAGACCTTAAATCTTCTCCTTTGTTGACTAAGTTTATAAATGCTTCTCATTATTACCAATGTAGTGAAATGTGTGGCATACATACTCTGTTCTCAATTTCATGTTATAAGCGACCGAAAACTCAGAGCAGATGCAGTTTGTGTGGATCAGCAATAATTTACTGTGAAGTCACTCTAAGCCACTAAAAGCACTGTTATCATGAGCTGTTTACGTATAGATCACTGTAAAATGTGCAGCGTACATCAGTGTTATTCTAGTATCATTGAAGTACTATTATAGTTTTTCTTAATATATTGAATTAGATTATATTTTTATAAATTCTGTTTTCATTTTCATTTGAGCTAATTATTGTTGTTTTGTCATTTTTATTAGTTTGTCTCTTTTTTAAATGTCTATATAGTTTTTAGTTTTAGTTATTTTAGTTTTAGTTATTTTAGTACATCAACTTGAACAAAATAAAAATGAGAAATTTTGTCTTTGCAAATAGCTGAAATAAAATAAGTTTAAGTTTATTTCAGTTAATGTTTATTTTATTTCATTAATACAATTTTTTTTTTTTTTTTTGATTTACCGCACTAAGCCATATCGGGATTTCGATTTTATTTCAATTAATCGTTCAACCCCTAGACATTATGTGAGTGCGATTCTTCCCAGTTTTACCACATGGTGCCTGGTTAACTAGTTGTTTTATTGGCTGCTAGTGTTTTCAGGAATCTCAGCTCGCAGATGAAGGTGGGGTGCTCGGCTCGCAGCTAAGAGCGTGGCAGACGCGTGTTCTGCATGTGCGTTTGGCGCAGCAGAGCAGCGATGCTTTCAGGCAGCTGTGTGGGCACCTGCTGAAGGACCCCAGCCCTCCTGACAGCCGTTCTTGTACTGCGGGAGAAAAAGAGTCAGAGGCGGATGGACGGCCCCATGACTTTGGGCGAGTAACTACATCTTGTGGGAGATTTATACTTGGCTGAGAGCCTGGAGCTGCAGCCTATGTGTGTAAATAGCCAGGCTTTTTTTAAACACCCTTGTCACAGGCACGACTGTTTGATGTGACAATGGCTGCACCGGGGCGCCGATGTTCAGCCCAGAAGAGATGATTGGAGGAAAGAGAGAGAGAGAGAGAGAGAGAGAGAGAGGCATGGAGAGAAAGCAGCAGGGAGCATTCGCCTT